TAGACCATAACCTCTCCATCGCCCTGACCTGAGTGTGATAGTGCGGCGGCCCCCACCCCCCACATCCCCCGGCCCTTGTTTTGTGTGTGACGGGGGAGACCCATACCCTCCCCATGGCCCCTGCCCTGAGTGTGACAGGGTACAGCGCCCCAACTTCCCAATCCGCCCTGTTTTGTGCATGACCAGGGGCTGCACCTAGGGATTGGACCTGCCCTCTGCCACCTGGGAGCAGGCTTAAGCCAGCAGGTCGTTATCTCCCGAGGGGTCCCAGACTGCGAGAGGGCACAGGCTGGGCTGGGGCCCCCCCCCCCCCCCAGTGCACAAATTTTTGTGCACCGGGCCTCTAGTCATTACATAAAAGGGTACGGTCTTTTTTTTTTTTTTAGTTTTATTCATTTCAAACGGGCCGGATCCGGCCCACGGCTGCCCAGACTGATGGCAGAACCCGATCGTCTGCATTTCTGTTACCAGGTGATGCCCCAGCGCCTGGGCCCGAGATCATACCGAGAACTGCCCTTCGCAGAAATGCTAATACCCAACAGCCACACAAACTGCCTCAAAAGACGGTTCAGACTAGGTGGCAGGTGGCACACAACCCTCCCCTGTTCATCTGCATTTTATTTATTGATTATTTTGCAAACTCCCAGACGTTCCCAGTGCTTTCCAGATGCTCCCTCGTCATTCTCCTGCCACATCTGTCATCCCGATCTCACTCACGGATTTACCGATTCACCCGAAGCTTCGCTCAACTTGCCCCGCGTCCCACGGTCTCAGCCCCGGGTCCTGCTCTCAGCACCACACAGAAGTACATGCCTGTGGGGAACGCTAGGCCAGCGGTTCTCAACCTGTGGGTCTCGACCCCTTTGGGGGTCGAACGACCCTTTCACAGGGGTCGCCTAAGACCATCAGAAAACACATATATAATTACATATTGTTTTTGTGATTAATCACTATGCTTTCATTATGTTCAATTTGTAACAATGAAATTGGGGGTGACCACAACATGAGGAACTGTATTAAAGGGTCGCGGCATTAGGAAGGTTGAGAACCACTGCTCTAAGTCATCGACCCTGATCGCTAGGGAGACACTGAGACCTGCTCCAGCCAGCCCTGAGCCCTCCAGTCAGCTTGGCCAACAAAGACCTGAGCGAACACGCGTCACTTCTGACTCCTGAGGCTGTGTCTGGGGATCACCCAGCCCCCCCCCTAAAGCTCAGCCCGAGTCAGAACCTACCAGTCTGTATTGCTGCCTCTGGGTTTTTGTTATTGTGGGGGGGGGGGGGGGGCATCTGACTATTCTTGCTCATCAACATGATGTGTACAATGCTTCACCGAAGATCCATCAGGCTGTGGCACAACATCACCGATTTGGTTATTTTGGAACTTAGGAGCATGTTAGCACATTAAGTCACAAGACGTAAACACTGCGTAGCTATCAATTCGAGTGAATCTTGGTGTGTATCCCTCAGTGACATTTCATAGTTTTATTTATATAGATCTGGAGGGTTTTTCCTGGTCTTAGAATCCTTCGCCTGTTGTGCTATAAATGGTGAGAGGGTTTTCCATTTCCATTCCGGATGGGTCACTGCTGTCGCAGGAAGGCCTGACTTCCTATGTCCACCACCCCTGTAGGGCTCGGTGAGATCGAATCATTTATACAAACCCGTGAACTTTTGCAACGACATGTTATTTTCAAACAAGAAAGATAACATCTTTTCTTATTGAATCCCTGTCATAAGTACTTCCTGTCTTGGTCTAAAAAGATTGGCAGGGCCCTTGGTGCCATGTTGAATAGGAGCAGTACCACAAAAGTAGAACTTTTGTCTTCCTTTTTGGCTTTTGGAGAATCCTTCCAAAATTGATCATTAAATATTATGCTCACTGTAGCCTCTCCTTATGAAGTAGCTACTCCTTTTCATTCTCAGTATATTGAAAATGTCTGATAAAAAATTTTTTTTAAAGTATGAGTGTTATCTGCTAGCAGATACTTCCATTGTATCAATGATGACCACATGTTTTTTCTCTAATATCTCTCACTGGAAGATTTATGATGTCAAACTTTTCTCCCATTCTTGGAATAAGCCCTATATGTATAGTGTTATTTTTGAAATAACATATCCTCTTGCTTTTCATTTGTGCTTTAAATAGCACTTTTTAAATGAATGTTCCTAAGACAAGACTATAGTTTATTCTTTTGTCTCTTCCTTTGTTTCTATCTAGGGTAGATAATGAGGTTATGAATTTTCAAAGGGGAAAAAGGGGAAGACATTTTTCAATGGAAACGCCTTGTTAAATAGGGATTATCAGTTCCTCACATTTCACTAAAACCTGTAAAGCCAACTGTGCTTGGTATCATTTGGATTGAAGGGTGTACTAGAGATTTCCTTGTCATCACAACTTGTTTATCTTTTTTTCTTGGAAATTATCCTTTAATGTTAAGTTTAATTTTTGTAAAAGTTGTCCATCGCATTCTCAAGGTCCTTACTCCCTTTTGGAAACTGTCCCTAACGGGTTTGTCTTTGCTTTCATTAGACACTAGGTGGCGCTACGAGCCCGCGGCAATTTTTCATTTCAAGAAGTTTTCACTGAATCTTAAGGTCTGTGATTAAACCCTTGTGGCAGATGTCCTATAGCCTCCACCACAGAGCCCCGCCCAGACAGATTTTCTTTTTAGGAACCTTTCAATATATATTTTTTTCCCCTCTACCCTAGGCTTTCTCAACGGACCTTGGCTTTATGCTCGGTGTCTCCAGGTCGGTCCAAGGGCCCGCTCCCCGGGGCAGACTTTAGGTAACAAAGCTCGGAATCCTGATCATGGAATTCGGCCCAGGAACCCAGTTTGTTGTGCTCAGCACTATGGTTTCAGCTCCTCGGTTTCTATTCCAGGAAATTTCCAGCGTTTCCCCTGGTTTCTTGTTCTCTGGCTTTGCAGTCTATCTAGTCCTTAGCTATTTTGCTTTCCAGAATAGTACCTTGTTTTCCACGTTGGAAATAAAGCTCCCTGCAGTGTCCCTCTCCAGCCCTACTGGTACTTTCAGCTTTGAAATATGTCTGCTGTCAGCATGACTATACTTGCTGTCCCTCGGTGAACGTGTCCGAGCCATATTTCCCCCTCATTCTTATTTTCTTTATTATTTTTTAAATCCATGCATGTTATTTTCAGACTCAAATAAACGTAGGACTTTCTAATACACATTTTTTATTACACACATTCTTTTGCTTTAAAAGTAAACATCATAAAAAGATAAAATATTGTACTTATTCCAAAACTCTAACAATACTTTTCTGAGAAAGGCAAATGAAAACATAAAATGACCATGAGACCACAATCATATAACAAAATAATTACATATTACATTTAAGTTAATATCTACCATTGTGTAGAGTTATATTTTATGTAGAATTTAAAATATCAATCACTTCTAGGATCTGGAGAGAATGTTTATGGGGAAAAGTCCATCACAGAAATCCACTTATTTAAAGCAAATGACTCGATTTTGTTTTTCAATTAACAATCCTGTGGCCCAAGTAACTCTCTTCAGCTCATCAAAGGATTGATCATAACTGGACCCAGAAACTACTGGGAGAGGCCATTCCCACGGCATCCAACTTGCCTTTTTATTGATAATTGTTCAGTTAAATTTCATTTCAGATTAAAGTAAAACCAAATGTGTTCAACTCTTTACAGTTAATCTTGCTCAGATTCAGCAAGATTTAAATGATATCAACTTTTATCTGAGACTTGAGATCCTAGAACACTGGGAAGGTTAGAGAA